ATATATATATATATATATATATATATATATATATATATATATATATATGTATATAGGATGTTAGTAAAAGCATTGATACACCATTTGACTAATAATAAACCAAAATGAAAGTTTTGTAGTGTGCTATTCATTGTGGAATGGAATGTCAATAGAATTTGATGTCTTTGGAATTAATACAAAAATATTAATATATCCTTAGAAGCTAATAAATGCATATTATAATTAATATTTGTATTTTTGGAAACTTATAAGGATAGTAAGGATCTTTTAAATGTTCAGTATCATATATTTTGATTTGAAATTACTAATGTTAATCACATGAGAAATGGTTAATATGTCCTGTTAATATGATGAATGGCAAAATAGTAATTTAATTGTGAGAGGGGGCCCTCCTTTCGCTCGCTAAGTGAAGGCGCCACCGGAGAGGAGGGAGAGACCGCCGCCATGTCGTCGCGGCTTCCGCTTGCTTGCCCCTCACTGTCGGAATGGGATGAGGAGCCGGAGAAGAGCAGGTGGGGGGAGAAGGTCTCCGAAGCCGTACTGTCTCTGTATCGCTCGCTCCCCAAGAAAGGGAAGCCTCAGGGCCGGGAAACCACTGTCGTCGCCGCTTTCCTCCTCTCCTCCCCAACCCAGGGTACGCTGATCCGATCCTTTCGCTTCGGCCTCTAGAGTCCTAAACCCATCCCGAAACCCTAGTCTTTCCTTCGCGTTTCAGGTCTCGAGGTCGTGGCCCTGGGCACCGGGACCAAGTGCATCGGGGGCTCCCTCTTGAGCCCTACGGGAGACGTCGTCAATGACTCCCATGCCGAGATCATCGCGCGTCGATCGCTGCTGAGGTACCCTCTTCTCACCAAAACAGATCTTTTTTTGGCGAAAGCAGTCAGTTTTCGTTTCCAATGGTTAAAAAAGATAATTTTGGAAGGAGAACAGGTACTTCTATGCTGAAATTGAACGTCTTGATCGCATTCATCAGACGAGTAGAGATGATGTGGGGTTTGCTGATGCATCAAAGTCAGCTTTTGGTTTGGATACCAGTTGCTGCGGCCAGACGAAGTACAGGATGAATCCTGGATGGGGATTACATTTGTATATCACCCAACTTCCTTGTATGGCTTCCTTCTAATTTATTTTCCTCTTTTCTCCTCCTTGATTATTCCATTGTGCACTTAAATTTTAGAAACAAACTATCTTTCTTTCCTTATTTCTTTTGTATATTTACATTTCTCTCATATGTAGGTGGAGTTTTTTCATATCCTACGCTACAACCACGTGAACTTCCAGTTCAAACAGATCTATCAGCCAAAATTGGAGGTTCGTCAGGTATGTTTCTTTATATTTCCAAATTGTGCCTAAGGTTTTTCCTCTAAGCAGAAAACAACCTTTCTAGTTCCAGATTTAAGCCCAAATATCATTATTTTTTCGCCATACCCTGGCATTGATCCTGCTGTTAAGGTTATTAAAAGCTAACTCGTAGAACCTCTTTTTTCTTGAATTAATTACTTTGACTCTTAGAACTGTTTTACCATACACTCTAAATGATAACTTTTGGCTTCCCTTAACTATGAAGTGGATTAGTGTGCATGTGTATATTATTGTACATTTTACAGCTTATGGATTGGTTTCAGCAATTATGCATAACACTTAATTTCCTTCTAGGAAGTGCAGAATCAAATGGATTTCAAAATGGAAAGTCCCAAATAAAGGAGAGTGATCATTTTCCAAGTGACTATCCTCAGATATCAACAATTGTCCAAAGGAAGCCTGGACGTGGTGATACCACTTATTCCATGAGCTGCTTTAATAAGATAACCCGCTGGAATGTTGTTGGAGTCCAAGGTTTTCTTTCAAGTTTATCATTGAATAAACCATCTTTGTTGCTGCTTTGTGATACTACATAATAGAGCAATTGTTAGCTTCTATTGTGCTTTTCTTTCATCTTAATTCATATGAAGAAAGTTTTAGGTTACATCAAACTTAAATATTTAAATTAATATCCCCGAGTATGAGAGTTCCCCTTCTAATTGTAACAAGTTGTTAAAATTTTGTTTTTTTTTCAGCATATGCGTGTCTGTGAAATAATGACTGAATGTTGGAAATGATCACACTTCAGTAGCTCTATATGCTTTGTATTACCTGAAGCAACCAAATATTCAAGGACTTGTTCAAAATTATCTAGGAAATTGTAACAATACGTTGAGCAAAAATTTTCATTATGGCTATCTGAGATCAAAATTTAACTTGGTTTCTTAAATCTTACTAATTCTTATGACTGGGTATCTTCTTTAGAGATTATGATGATAGTGATTTTAGTAATAGGCAGTTGTTTCATTTTGTGCATTTTGAAAGAAGACCAATTCTATTTAAAAATTACCAATTATGCTTGTTATGATTGCCAGCATTTTTAGAACTACTGGAGATTTTCATGATGTTTCAGGATTGTAAGAAAGGATGTCCCTGTAAATGACATTTTGAGTTGCTAACTTATGTTTGACATAGTGTCTCTATGTCAGATGATCACTGTTTTAAGTCAAAGAATTGTGAATGTATAATCTCAGTTTAGATGTCAAAACATGGTATATATTGTTACTATATTAGAATGAAGGCTGAACTCACCAATTTTTCCTGCCATTTATATTTCTTCTTTTTTCTGTTAATTGCAGGAGCTTTGCTTTTTCACATTTTGCAACCAGTATATCTATCTACCTTAACTGTGGGGTTTTCTCCTTGTGATGGTCTTCAAAAGTCTGTAAAGACAAATTATCTTGAAAAAGCTATTTATGATTGCATGGAACGCCTGCATATTAAATTGACAAAACCTTTTCATTTGAACAAGGTTTGTCTTGTGCAACTTCTGATGGTCTTCTTGACATGAACATGGTTAGCTCATTACATGTTTTGTCCTTCAGCCATGTATTATCGAGGCTCCTATTCCGGCAGACAGGTTACAACAGTCAAACGGTGATGAAACTAATTTAACTTGCGGGTATTATGTGGTTTTGTTACCTTTTCCATTTAGAACTGATGGATTTTATTTTATTTTATGATTCTCTTGCTCTAGGTTAATAGTAAAAGAACTAGCGTACCTTGTATGATTTGTTTACTCAGGTATTCTATCTGTTGGAATAAATCTGGGTTGTATGAAGTTGTCTTGGGAACAACAGGGAGGAAACAAGGCACTTCTGCAAAAGGGGCGCTCTCTCCATCCACCGAGTCATCTTTATGCAAGTAGGCAATGAATTTCAAGTATTATTATTATATTTATTATCAGTCATGCTATCTCTTTGATGTTATATTGGCAATAGATGGTTCGATGGATCCATAGGAAAAGAGATATTATGGGAAGCTCATGAAACATTAATATGCTTTGATATTTATATGGTAGTTTATTAGGTTATTTGACTTGTTGTTTATTAACTATAAGCTCATTTCTTGTACAAAATATTAAATTTGCATGAATGTTATTTGGTACCAGGAGGAGGTTGTTGGAAGTTTTTGTGTCATTGCAATCCAGATTATCTTTGCAGCTTCAATCTGCAGAAATCTCTTATCATGGGCTGAAGGTATGGTTAGTTGTTTGCAAAATGGAAAATATAATTTTTTTCTCCCCTCTTCATGCATGTAGTCTACAGCTTGAGTTCCATTATTTATCCAGTTGAAACTTATTCTTACAATTTGTTCTCATAGAACTGAAGCACCAAAGGTGAAATATCATGACTTGTTGATATCCCGTTATTTTCAATTAAACAAGAATTTCTTGTGTGTTCCTGCATTGATCTGATCGGTACTAGATGCTCCATAAATTAAATTTAAATTTGTTGCCTGCTAGAGACAATGTCATTTGCTTCCAAAATGTTAAAAAGAAACAGGAGAATGTTTGCAGGATCAATATATGGTTTGAGATTTATCACGGAACCGAGTTTGGTGGTGGGATCAACTGGATAAATTGTCTGTGATTGGCCAAAGAGTAATATTAAAAATGACCAAATATAAAAAATAATTGAAAAATATGAAACGAAAAGAAGGAACAACTCATATGTTCTAACTATGCTTAAATATTATATTTTATGTATATGTCATTGAAGAACATAACTGTAAAAGAACTTAGAAATCGGGAGGGTTGTTGACAAGTTTTCCATTCCACACCTTTCTCAACCACTGCATAGATCTCTTTGTTTCTATACTGTGTGACATGTTGGATTCATTGATACCTTAGTGAACCACTGCCAAGGTAACAAGGTATTGTTGATGTGAAGATCAGTGGCAGCTGAGTTTCTGAAACAGTCATAGCGAGATTGTCGAACCGTGTTGGTGGGCAATTGTCATGCCAACTGATGGCCCACCAGCATGAATGTCGTTGTTGCATGTTGTCCTTTTAAATTGAAAAATTACACCTCAGCATGCAATTAATCCTAATTCACTTCCTGCTATGCATTTTTCGATATGGTTAAAAGAAAACTCAGCTGCGTATTTTGCCATGAAAATATATGTATGTGTAGTGTCATGTTTTCTGTCAAATAGTAATTAATAAATCAGACTTCAGGAGTATCTTATTTCCATTCATAGCAAAGTATTAGCTGGTTTTGCTTTATGGTAGCCTTGGAGAAGTTTGCTTGTATTCCGGATTATAATCACATTACTTTAGAAGAAGTTTGTTTGTATTCCAGATTCTAATCAGAGTGACTTACTAAACTTCCAGGCTATGGCTCATGAATACCAATCTTCTCTCAAGATGCTTAGAGAAAGTCCAGCTTTTAGCTCTTGGCATTTGAAGCCTTCAAACCTTGAGATGTTCGCTATTTCTGGACAGTGAGGTTCGTCTGCATCTAAACTGCCTTTTCTTTTATGTACTCCGAATCTCCCGAAAGAGATGGTTCTCTATGGATCCATGTGGTTGGTTCACCGATCCTATATATAGTTGGGACATCACAGCTTCTTATTGTATTTAATTTCTCATCCTCGAAAAAAGTTGATAAACAAACAGAAAGTTCTTTATCCATTGCTTGGTTGGAAAAAGAATGAGCTGAAGTTTATAGTCATCAAAGCGAATATGAAACTTATCAGATTAAACGAGTTTGGAGGTTATTAGGAACCTAAAAGTTCTTTGCATTCTTGTCTTCTTGAAATATTGTCATTACTTCTGCATTTCTTCTGTCTTCTATTGTGTGTTGTGAACCTCACTTTAGCATTGGAGGATGCATATTTCATGATGATATGATGGAAAACCTAAGTGAAACTCAATAATGATTGTGTTTTGCAAGAAAATTTTAGTAGGCATTTTGTGAATAAAACCTCAAAACTTGGGAATTCTACAATAAATCTTCTTAGGTAGTTTCCAAGGCATAGAGATGAGGTGTTTTAGTTGTGCAACACATCAACATCGTGAACCCTTTTTCAAAGCACATCAATAAATTGAAATGAACTTAATTAATATATAAAAAGGAAAAAAAAACAAAACTCAAGAAGTAGGAATGAGGTGTTGAAGTCGTGCATCACATCAACATCGCGACCGTTTCTTGAAGCACACGGACAACTTGTCGGCTTCCCCGGCCACGAAGGTGGTGAAACATGGGCAGCGCCCCGAGGAGATGGTGGCGCGGAGAGGAAGCTAACTGCGGCGCAGCAGAGAGCAGAATGGGGGGCGGCGCCGTCGGCGCGATACAGTCGTCGACGAAAGGAGTCGTCTTCTTCTTCCTCGTGCTTCTTGTCCTCGTGGCGGTCATCTCCCGGAGATGGATGGATGACTCGGTAATTAAGCTCTCCCTCACAACTCATTTTCTGCTCACGTTGGCGACTGCAATGCTTCTTTTTCGTTTCTCTTTTGGTGCAACGGTGCAACTTAATCGCCTTCTGCATGCAGACCTTCTCCATGATAAGCTCATGGCGTGAGCAAGCTCCCAGGTTACAACACTCCCATCAGCCGCAGCCCAAGCCTGTCACCTTGACCTGCCCAAACCACACAACCACGCCCTTGCATTACTGCCGAAGGACGATAACTCCGTCTCCCTCTTCCTCTCCGTCGGCCCCCGCCACCTCCGGAACCGAGCCACCTCCTTCCTGCCCGGACTACTTCCGGTGGATTCACGAGGACCTCCGCCCGTGGAACTCGACGGGAATCACGAGAAAGATGTTGGAGAGTGCCCGGCAGTTTGCAGCCTTCCGGCTGCTGGTGATCGGCGGCCGAGTCTACGTGGACCAGTACCACCGGGTGTTCCAGACGCGAGACCTCTTCACGCTGTGGGGCTTCGTGCAGCTCGCGAACCGCTACCCCGGCCGCCTCCCTGACCTCGACCTCATGTTCAACTGCGAGGACATGCCGACCGTCAAGGCCGACGACTACAACACGTCGCACCCGCCGCCTCCACTCTTCCGCTACTGCAAGGATGACTCCACGGTGGACATCGTCTTCCCCGACTGGTCCTTCTGGGGCTGGTAATTCGCCTTCGCTCAAGCCTTTCAACCTTACCTTCTCTGACACGGATATTACTGGGAAGGCCTGAGATCAACGTAAAGCCATGGGAGGTGCTACGGGAGGAGATGAAAGAAGCGAATGACAGGATGGCGTGGGAGAAAAGGAAGCCATATGCATTCTGGAAAGGCAATCCGACGGTGTCCGGCCATCGGAAGGATCTGATGAGATGTAACTCCTCCAATGGACATGACTGGAACGCTCGAGTTTATGCACAGGTAAACACTGCGGTTGCTCTTCTCCATTAATCTCAGTTCTCTGTTCCTTACTGATTCACAGTGAATATTTCGTATAGGACTGGGTAAAAGAGATCGAGAACGGGTTCAAGGATTCGAACCTGGCTGAGCAATGCATCTATAGGTACCGAAAGCTGCTGCTTTCTGCTACAAAACTGTGGATGACACAGTAATTTGCTTGATAACAGGTACAAGATCTTCGTTGAGGGGAGGGCGTGGTCGGTGAGCTCGAAGTACATCCTGGCCTGCGACTCACCGGCGCTGTTCGTGACGACTCACTTCCACGACTTCATGACGAGGGGGCTGATGCCAGGACGCCATTACTGGCCCATAAGAGAAGACAACCAGTGCAGGTCGATCAAGTTTGCAGTGGACTGGGGCAACAAACACCAAGAGAAGGTGAGCCCTGCTTCCACCTTCAACAGCTTCAGCTCGTTCGACCAAACCTTGCTTAATTATCTGTGATATTTGCAGGTGCAAGCCATGGGGAAGGAAGGGAGCAGCTTCATCTTGGAGGAAGTGAAGATGGAGTTCGTGTACCAGTACATGTTACACCTACTAACCGAGTACGCCAAGCTGTTGCGGTACGAGCCGACGTTACCGGAGAACGCCACCGAGCTCTGCTTGGAATCCGTGGCTTGTGGCGAGGAAGGGCGTGTGAGGGAGTTCCTGATGGAGGCAATGGTGAAGTGGACCTGCGATTCCGAGCCATGCACGTTGCCTCCTCCCTACAGTGCGGGGGAGTTGGAGCAGCTTCGATCGAGGAAGGCTGATGCTATAAAGCAGGTGGAGGAGTGGAAGCAAGAAGCTTGGGAGGAGGAGCACTAAGCCGTCTTGTATATATCCCTTTGTTTACAAGATAGTTACAGGGAAAAGAAGACATTGCCTCAATCTCCTTCATGACATATAAAGATAGTTATATGTCAATTTTCTATGAAGAATTGCCATGGAATTGTGTGCATATTATATTGAGATCACAACCCAGTTGGTCTTCAGATCAGCGATCACCGCAATACAAGTTTTTCTAGTGAACAGAGCAACCGTGTGCACCCATTAGAGCACCTTTAGAAAGCAGTGAGCTTCCAAGCATGTTCTTCCGCAGCAGCTTCACAGCAATCATGTTTATAAATCTTATCTCAACAACATCCAGCAGCAGCAGCAGAAGCATTGAGCTAGCAATGATGTGAGAGCCACTTAAGCTCTTGTGTGATACAAACGTAATCCCTGTTCCTACTTAATTCCTGGAGGAGGGCCAACCTGTGAATCATGCGATTGTTCATTGCCAAGAGGCTTCTCCAGCAAACCATGCTGCTAACTTCATGGATTCCACTGCACTGTGAGGCTGACGTTGAGTAGAAGGCAAGAGAGCAGGTTGGCTTCATCATAGCCATGGAGGAGGAAGACACGGCCACTGCCATGAAACAGAGGGAAGGAGATGGCGTGATCACCAGATCAGGAAAGCACTGATCAACTAATGGATGGTTATGATTATTCACAGCTTGATTTGGTTGCAAATAAGGCATCTTAATGACGTGTAATGTCACATTAGAATGTCTGTAGGGGTAAATATGTAACGAAACCCAAAATATTCAATATCGCGGTTGCACCATTTCAAATTTCGAATCCCCCGCTAAATCTAACGCCCGTTACTCCTCCGCTGTCAGAAATCACCCCCAAACTGCCGTCAACGGCCGTCATCTTCCGTCTCTCTATATAAGCACTTCCCTCTTCTTGCATCTGTTCCATCCCACTCTCCTCTCTTCCTCCTCTCCGCTCCCCGATCTCCCTTCGGATCCCTCTGCTTCGCCGTCCGATCTGCTTCAAGATGCGCGAGATCCTTCACATACAGGGCGGCCAGTGCGGCAACCAGATCGGGGCCAAGTTCTGGGAGGTGGTGTGCGCGGAGCACGGGATCGACGCCACCGGCCACTACGGCGGCGACAGTGAGCTCCAGCTTGAGCGGGTGAATGTCTATTACAACGAAGCCAGCTGTGGCCGCTTCGTCCCCAGGGCGGTGCTCATGGATCTTGAGCCCGGCACAATGGATAGCGTCCGGTCGGGCTCATACGGCCAGATCTTCCGCCCCGACAACTTCGTCTTCGGACAGTCCGGAGCCGGAAACAACTGGGCCAAGGGCCACTACACCGAGGGCGCCGAGCTCATCGACGCGGTCCTCGATGTTGTCAGGAAGGAGGCTGAGAACTGCGATTGCTTGCAGGGTGAGACTTCTTCTCTTTTTTCTTTTGCCATACTTTTATGAATCACTCGAAATTAGTATTCGAAGTACATTAATCGTCTAAATTGCGCGTCTATCATTGTGGATTTCGGTGATCGTTCTTCTTTTTCTGGTGTGCGTTATCATAAGGCGATGTGTTTTTGAATCAATTTTGTTTGTGGATCTATGGGCATATAGATCTAAATCTTTATCATATGAATCGATTTTTTTCTTTCATTCTGGTGAATACTAAGTTCTCCAAATTGATGCTGTCACTCGATGATTTGATTGATGCTTTCCCAATTATGACTGTGAAAAAAATAGAATTACTATTTAACTCTCAAAACCATTTATTTGCTATTCGCATTAGTTGTATTAAAATATACAAACAAATTGTCATTGATGAGCTTCAAAGGGGGTTATATGAGCATTTAGATATCGGATGGAATAGCAGGATGAGTGAGGATACAAATTCATAGCCTACTTGATTGATAGGAATCTATGGCTAACTTTTTTTTGATGATCATATTGGTTGGGTTATCACAAAATCCGGAAGCTGAAGACTCAAACGCAGAGAGAGATATCTACATATCTTGAACACAAACTTTGATATTATCTTAAATGTTTTTATTAGGTCATCACGGAACTGAAAGTCGTTATTGTTAGGAAAAGATCCAATCTACATTAAAATGTAGCAGTGCTAAGCGAAATGCAACTCTTTTTGTACTTCTGCGATGTCAACTTAGGCTGTCAGTTTGGTCATGTGCGTGCCAATGTTTCGATGCATGCTCCAATGTTGGTTGGCCTTTTGAAATGTCATTAAATTGGGAATCCAACGCCAGACACTTATGCCGTACTCTCTTTGATGGCCACAAATTACTTCCTAAGATCTTTTCAATTCTTTGCTACACATCTATCTACCAGGAGTATCTTTTTATTTGTTGTAAGATCCAGCGATGCTCTATTTGACAGGGTATGCTAGAACAAATATTTGAAAGGCCCCAGTGTTTTATCTGTCTGAAAAGGAATTTTTTTTTTTGTTGGTGTAGTAGATAACTAAAACAACAATTTGTCCTGTCATACTATTCTTGGAGAATTATCTTTCGTGATTTCATTTATATTTCCACTCTTGGGGAACTGTATATCTCGCAATTTCATTTTGTTTTTTCTTGGAGCATTCTTTTATCAAACATTTTAATTTTGATTTCGATTGATATAAATTCTACAAGCTTGCTTTACATAAAGCATCTATGCAGGTTTTATCAACTGTCAGCTCTTAATATCATGTTATTATTTGCTATATTTCAGGGTTTCAGGTTTGCCATTCACTGGGAGGTGGAACTGGTTCCGGCATGGGGACACTCCTCATATCAAAGATAAGAGAAGAGTACCCAGATCGCATGATGCTAACCTTCTCAGTCTTCCCATCTCCAAAGGTTTCTGACACAGTTGTTGAACCCTACAATGCGACTCTCTCTGTTCACCAACTGGTTGAGAACGCCGATGAGTGCATGGTGTTGGATAACGAAGCTCTCTATGACATCTGCTTCCGAACACTCAAGCTCACTACCCCCAGCTGTAAGGATCTCTTCTCGAGGTGTTGTTCATGCTAAATTAAGTTTGAAGTTTGCATCATTAACTTAATATTTGCCCTTGTGATGGACATCAGTTGGTGACCTGAACCATCTCATTTCTGCCACCATGAGTGGAGTTACATGCTGCCTTCGCTTTCCTGGTCAGCTCAACTCCGACCTCCGAAAGCTTGCTGTCAACCTCATCCCTTTCCCTCGGCTTCATTTCTTCATGGTGGGGTTTGCGCCTCTTACTTCCCGTGGATCCCAGCAGTACCGCGCTCTCACTGTCCCCGAGCTTACCCAACAGATGTGGGATGCCAAGAACATGATGTGTGCTGCTGACCCCCGCCATGGGCGTTATCTGACAGCATCAGCAATGTTCCGTGGTAAAATGAGCACCAAGGAGGTGGATGAGCAAATGCTCAATGTGCAAAACAAGAATTCCTCCTACTTCGTCGAGTGGATTCCGAACAATGTCAAATCCACAGTCTGTGACATCCCCCCCACTGGGTTGAAGATGGCATCTACATTCATCGGGAACTCGACCTCAATCCAGGAGATGTTCCGTCGTGTCAGCGAGCAGTTTACCGCTATGTTCCGAAGGAAGGCTTTCTTACATTGGTACACAGGAGAAGGGATGGATGAGATGGAGTTCACCGAGGCAGAAAGCAACATGAATGATCTGGTCTCAGAGTATCAACAGTACCAGGATGCAACAGCTGATGATGATGTTGAATATGAAGATGAGGAGGAAGGCGACTATCAAGAGGCCTGATACCTCGATTAAAAGGTGGGTTTCTCCGTATCATCACTCGATTAAACTCCTTCATTTCATGCATAGTTTCTTTTCGGAGCAATTATCAGTTGCTTTTATTTTGTTGTTTTGAAGTTGGTTGAGAACGCAGTGCTGTTATGAATGATATGAACATTGAGTCTACCAAGTAGATGTTTATTAAATGTTCTGTTATGCAATTCTCGGTTTCTTCTTAATCCTCATAACTTTCGGTATCTTCTCTTAAAATTATGAAATTTATGTTTTGAATTAGTGAAATCTATTTTATGCTTATTTATCTATGTATAAGAATGTGACCTACTTCGGCTATTAGTAGGCTTTTAATATATATCTTAAAGTATCTTCTTATATCGTTTTGTCTTCATTTTATTCTCGATCGTAATTGTCAAAGAATTTTAGTATGCAAAAAACTCGTTTTTTCATACAGATAGCATTTTAAAAAATAGAATGAAGCATTCAAAATTTTACTTAATGTTATTAATAGTAATACTTATCTCGAGTTAATATATACAAAATTCCTTTTTATCATATAAAATACAAATATTCCACTAAGAAGAGAAACCGATGTTCCTTTTTTATCAAATAAAATAAGGATGGTTCAGCTAAATCTTCCTTTTATTGTCTTTCATCAAGCGCAATCATGGTATTATGAAAATCCAGATTCTTGGTAATAATAAACAAAGGGGGGATAATATGAATATAAGGATGTCGAATTTGGGATTCAGAATTAAATAACTCTGATGATATACCAAACAAATTTTTATAATTTATCCAATAAATATCTATATTCTTATATATATATATAAATAAAAAATACATAATAAAGATGAGATTTCAAAGGATAAGTGAGAGTTTTGTATAGTTTTATCAATGGAGCTCTCACATCTTATCAACGTCAAAGAGTTGAACAGAGCCTTTATAAATGCCCGTTTGTTTACCCAACATATGACTGGGCGGAAAGTACTCTGTAAAGCAATGAATCCTCCCATTGAAAAGGAAGGTACGAAAAAGGGTAATATCTGATCAAGTGCGAAATCTATCATTGTTGAAGAGAACGGATCCCACCAACAAGAGGTCCACTAAATAAATCAAAACAGCTCGCGGCCCGATTTGTCCGTTGTGGCGGCTGGTTCACGTGACGATATCGGACGCGGATAACCGTCCGATTCCGATACTTTCCACATCCAACGGTCCGCCTCATCCCGTATTTCTTCCCTGGTCCCCCTCGTCTTCTCCCCCGAACCCCCTCTTAGACCCTAATCCCCCTCCGCCTCCGCCTCCTCTTCCTCCATCTCCTCTGTAGCCATGCAGTCGTTGGCTCTCTCCCCGTCCGTGTCCCTTCGCCTGTCCTCCTCCCCGAAAGTCGATGCCTCTGCCGCCACCCACCGTCCATTCTTTCTCCGCCCCCATTGTGTCCGACCCCCCCGCGCTTCCTCCTCCGCCTCCGAGCACCACCAGATCGTCGACAGCCCCCCGCCTCCGGCACCGGAAATCCCCCCCGTCCCCGACAAGCTTAACCGCTACAGCTCCCGGATCACGGAGCCCAAGTCCCAGGGCGGGTCCCAGGCCATCCTTTACGGTGTTGGCCTCTCCGATGACGACATGAGGAAGCCCCAGGTGGGAGTATCGTCCGTCTGGTACGAGGGCAACACATGCAACATGCACCTCCTCCATCTCGCCGAGGCCGTCCGCGAGGGCGTCCGCGAGGCTGGCATGGTTGCTTTTCGATTCAATACCATTGGCGTCAGCGACGCTATTTCGATGGGAACCAGAGGAATGTGCTATAGCCTACAGTCGAGGGATCTTATAGCTGACAGTATCGAGACCGTCATGGCGGCGCAGTGGTACGACGCTAATATCTCAATCCCAGGTTGCGATAAAAATGTGAGCTTTTCTTCTTTCTCTGCCTCCTTTCATATTTCATTTGGTCCTTCTTCTTCTTTGTTTCCATATTGGATTTCGCTCATTCTTATGCTTGATGCTTTGGTATTGTTATCAATCTCCGCTCCTGTGGCGGTAATGTTGATAAAGAATGCTTTTTAACCATTTAATATATTTTTATATGGGAAATCATCTTTAATAGATAGTCTCTTAACTTCAGTGCGCAAAATATGAATTTGCACATTATCATATGGTCATGCTTTAACTGTGTTTTACAATATGCTTTGGGAAATTAATGAAAGAAACCTGATTGTTAATGTTGATGTTCATAAATTATGTCAGTTGAGCTATTTGATCGCTGCTTTCTTTAGTTTAATTTCTATTAATGATCACAAATGTTCAATATGTTTAACCTGACGCATTAGAATTGGCTTTCTGAAGTTACAATTCCCTATGTTAATGTCATGTATTGGTGAGCTTAATTTGTTTGGCTGGTAGTTTTTTATTACATGCAGCAATGTCTTGTATTGATTTATTCCTTTAAGATGATTTTTTGTTCCTAGAATTCACATACATGGCACCTCTCATGCATATAGTTGTCTACATAAAATAGCACCAAAATTGTCATGACAAGTGTTTCTGTGGAAGACATTATTAAACTCGATTTTTGAGTATGAATTTATGTAGATCCTAACCATTTTCTCTAAATCTGAACTTCATTGCTTTGTAGATGCCAGGTACAATTATGGCAATGGGACGACTTAACCGACCAAGTATTATGATTTATGGTGGAACTATCAAGGTGAAGAATGCAAGACAATAACTTTTGGTTGACCTCTCTTCTCTTTAAGTTATGCTTCTCATGTTTCATCTAAACATGACTCATAAACAACTTATGATTGTCTATTTTATGCATAAATCACATGTGAAAGTTGGAGTTCAATTTCTTTTAGTTGTAAGAACTTATTTGGATATTTGCATACTCCTTTATAATACGTTGGTCACTTTGTGAAATTTAAAGTCAAAATTTCCTTGTCAAAACTGTTTCTCTCTGTTTTCTTATGGTTTTCAACTCAGATAAAAAAGGGTAGTGTTTGTTACAGCTGCTCAATCTGATTTTGTTAATTGATGTTTGTTGATCAGAAAGGATAATGTTTGTTACAGCTGCTCAATCTGATCTTGTGGATTGATGTTTGTTGTAATAGTTAACTGTTATCTTTATTACCATAACCAACTTATAAACCCATAAACTTTCAAATCTGGAGGTGATTTTTGTCAGATCACATGGGGCATCATGCAGATGTGATGACATGATACACACATGGCTTGGATGCAAACTCCCTGATATGGCAACTGACTTGGTGACATAGCAGCAGACAATCACATTGGATTATGAGTGCAGGCAGATGGTGATCAGCTTTATAAGACCAGTTGAAGCTGCTTCATGGCATAAAACTCTTTGGAACTTTTAACCATGGTTCTGAGTTCTGACTATGATATAGAATTACAGAAAATGCAGGACACATTATATGCAAAAAATCTGAAAGCAATTAGGATCATATGGTTTCTCATAGACTTCTGAGAACTGTTTTCTTGCTCAAGGAAATCACTAGATTTGTTTTGGATCATGCATAATTGAAATTTATATATTATTGCTTAGTTACTAATTATGCTCTATTTTTCATGCAGCCTGGACATTTTCAGGGAAATTCCTATGATATAGTATCTGCATTTCAGGTATGGAAATAATATGTTGTCTCAGAGTTCTTGTGGATGACTGAGTTATGACTATACATTTTTGTGCTTTAATATATTTCTACTTCTGGAATCTTGTGTCTTTTGCTACAATTTCATTTTTTCCTTTCTGTTGGATGCATCTATGTAAACCTTACTTCGATTGTCGAGTTCATCAGTTATGCTTCAGTGACTGCTAGTTACAAAATTGTAAATTTTGTTTTAGACGATGGCTTTTGTGTGTTGAATGGTTTTTTCAGTATGGGAAGAAGGTTCAGTTGCAATAGCATGCCAAATATTGCACCTTTGCCTGGTTGTATTGTGCAGACAACACTAGATATATGATTCAACTTACACCAGTGTTACAATAAAATTGAATTTCAGTTGCTAGGGTTAGTTGAATAGATAGAAAATCGGTGAAAACATCCTCAATATTGTGCCACAAATATGCAGGCTATTTTTAGACACGTAAAGAGTAAGAATGAAAATATTGAATATGTACTATATGATTCAACTAAAATAAGATGTTGAAAAGAGCTAACCTGAGTTCTTAAGTAGTTTTTGATTCTAAAAAGGTCAGATTAACTACAATCCGGAAGCCTTTGAGAAATTCATTGTTAGTTAGAGGTTATTATTTGCTGAGAGCTACTTGATTGTTCACAAAATTAACGGGGTTCCCTAGAATTCCAATAAAATATCCAAGTGATTCCTTGTAAAAGTTCCCTTGTCCTTTGAAATAAATGAACAGTTCTTATTGACAAATGAAACTTTCATAACTACAACTTTTTGTTCTTTGGTGTTGATCAGAGCTTCTATTGTTCGGTAACATTGTATCATCATCATCATCATCATCATCAAACTGTTGGCTGTTCCGTGTTTTTCACCGTGAACAAATGAAATCAACTTGGAGAAGCAGTATGCAGAACATGGAAATAAATCTCTTTGTATTATCCATATTGTCACATTTTTAACGACTCAGAGATTTTGGTTCTTTTAAATGCTCAACAGCAGTGCTGGTCAACTGTCCTAACTTTTTTATACATCATCTCTTGATCCTTCATGGTGCCTCGTACTTTGAATTTCAATACTTCAATATATAACTTAAGTAGGATTCTTATCTCTTATTATGTAATACAAAACAATCTAATGCAAGCTTGAGAGATGCTAATATGTTTTGTTTTCCAGTGTTATGGGGAATATGTTAGTGGGTCAATAAATGATGATGAAAGGATGAATGTTGTTCGCAATTCATGTCCTGGAGCTGGGGCTTGTGGAGGCATGTATACTGCTAACACCATGGCATCTGCTATTGAGACGATGGGCATGTCACTTCCTTACAGGTACGAGAAATTATACAATAAATACAATTTTGAGCTATCACTTGTCACTGCATCTGAAGGTTTGACTTATTATATTTTTTTCAAATTGTGAAAGCTCATCAACCCCTGCAGAAGATCCACTGAAGTTGGAAGAGTGTCGCTTAGCTGGAAAATATTTATTGGAATTGCTAAAAATGGATTTGAAGCCTTGTGACATTATCACTGAGAAATCATTACGCAATGCTATGGTTGTTGTTATGGCACTTGGTGGGTCTACTAATGCAGTGCTACATTTGATTGCTATAGCTAGGTGGGTGTACATATGCAATAATTTTTGTTAGAGATTATTTGCATGTTAATTTACGTAATCCTTGTAGGTCGGTGGGCTTGCATTTAACCCTAGATGATTTTCAGAAAGTTAGTGATCAGGTCCCTTTTCTTGCCGACCTCAAGCCTAGTGGAAAGTATGTGATGGAGGATTTACACAAGGCATGATTCTGTGTTTAAATTTTTTTATATCTACTCTTTACATTTTTATGTTTATATTCAAATTTCATTTATAATTATGAACCTATCCAATTCATATCTATGCTTACAGATTGGAGGTACACCTGGAGTCATCCGTTTCCTTTTGGAGGAAGGTTTTCTGGATGGTGATTGTATCACTGGTTAGTACACCAGTGCAATTATCTTTCAACTCTCGAGTCTTCTGAATTTCATATTCTAACTTCTATAGTTTATTTACAGTTACTGGAAAAACTCTTGCAGAAAATGCCAAACTCTTCCCTGCCTTAAGTGAAGGACAAGTAGGATAACAAAACATTCTATCCTATGAATTTCTTTTATCATGGCTGCTAATACTCATTGCCAGTTGCTTTTTAACTTTAATTACAGCAAATAATAAGACCATTGTCCAACCCTATCAAAGCCACAGGGCATATTCAGATACTTTATGGAAATCTCGCTCCAGAGGGTTCTGTGGCAAAAATTACTGGCAAAGAAGGGTTATTTTTCTCTGGTACAGCATTTAACAAGAGTTTCTCTTGCTATTGGTTTGAAGATGATGATTCTTTGTTTGGGACAGAAGTTTGCAATAGCAGTAATCATGGCTAATTTATAGGTCCTGCGCTTGTTTTTGAGGGTGAGGAGTCCATGATTGCAGCAATTTCAGAAAATCCTATGAACTTTAAGGTAAGCATCCAAACCTTTCACGATATCTTTCTTCAGAGCAAATTCCAACCTAATATACTTATTATTGTGCTTCACTTCCATTGCATTATGTAATATCTTGTCTGAAAACTCATAGTAATACTGGAAAGTAGAATCACTAATTATATGTCTATATATGGAGGAATATAGATATTTATAATTTTTTTTAAAATAAGATTATATCTGTCAACCTGTGTTGTTCATTTTGATGACATATCTAATTGATGATGTATGGCTATGTGGAAGGCCAAGAAGGGTATATGATTTCGTACGGTCAAAGTGGAGGCTCACCTATTAGAAAATGATAAAATTTGTTTATTGTTAATGAAGAAAATAATCAATTTATTGCTGCTTTGGAAAAACAGGTTTAGAATTTCTAGTTGTTATGAGAACAGGTTAGCAAGAAGATGTTGTTTTGTTGCTGGTTCATTTGCTAGTTCAAATCTCAAAGAGTAACCAGCAAATAAATTATAAAAGAGAAGAAATAGATTAAAGAAAAATTAACTAGGTGGAGATATAGAGGGAGACATATTATGGGCCAAAATTAAATTTCATTTGTTTATACCTTTATCAATCACTGTCGTCTTTGATTGCTGAAGGAAGACTGCATATATTGGCCCTTTCTAGATTCCCATATTGGTGGGACTCATAAATTGGGATTCCTCTCTTTTTGATGCTCATAGACTTACTTTAGTGATTTTTTTTATTTGTTTATATTTTTAATTAATATTCCTACTTACTTTAGTGACTGTTCAAGCAGGTAGTTAAAGTCATAGTTTGGTAGTCATACATCTTGTATCAGGTTCGGGATAGGAAAATTAATGTCAATGGGATTTAAGTTTTGGAAGTCCTAATGCCATTTTATGTTAAAATTTTTTTAACTTTTTGTTTATTTAGATCTGTCTAAACCAGTGCTGCCTCATGCATTACATGTAACAGGGTAAGGTTGTTGTCATCAGAGGAGAAGGACCCAAAGGTGGACCAGGCATGCCTGAAATGCTGACACCAACTAGTGCAATAATGGGTGCCGGTCTTGGAAAGGTGGTGTTATTCCTTGCAAGGCATTTTTCATGGTTGATCTTTTTTTCAAGTTAAAAATCTTGTCTATGATCTGCTTAAGATTAAATGCTTGGTGCTTCTCACAGTCCATCTGAGTATTAGTAGATAAATCTTGGATAGGTGGAACACTATCCAACAAGATGACAAAATTTGTCCATTCTTGCCACTTACTGTTGGATGAAATTGTTATTTTAAGATCTTGTGTCAGCCCAAAAATGAATAAAACTATGCGTGACTTTACGTAGAGACCTAAATTATTGAACTAGAAAATGTCAGAAAAAAAGATATACTTTGGATCCGTGCCCTACTTAATATGTTAATTATGTAAAGAAGATGGAGATGGGAGCAGTCAACCACTGATTGCTTGATGTTTGATAGAAAGTGGAAAAGGAATGAGAATCCTAATTGGATCAGCCGTTTTAAGCTGATCCCTTTTGGAATTTGTCAGTCTGGACCCCGATCTGATTACCTGGATTGTCAGGTACTGAAAAGTCAAGTCTTGAATGTAAGATTATTCAATCCTCTTTGGGATTGTCTGATTACTTGAACCTTGTTGCAAGGAACAAAACTCTCAAGCCTAGATATTAGGCTCTTTCATTTTCAACATATGCACACGATTGGGGTTTGAAACTCTTTATTGTTTATTATCTAACTGGCAGATCACAAATTCTAGAAGATTGATCTTCGATCAAAATTATGTACTTGATTTTTTTTTAGCTCTTTTACAGCAGATAGTATGTGCTTTAGTGTGACTCTATTAATAATTAGTCATATTGAATGGTTGGTTGGTTTTAATTTTTTATTTATCTCATCCTCAAAATTCTATTTGTATTTTAGGAGTGTGCCTTGCTTACTGATGGTAGGTTCTCTGGAGGATCTCATGGGTATGTTGTGGGCCATATATGCCCTGAAGCACAGGTATTTAATTTTTATTATTATATGATAGTGGCATAATTTGTTTTCAGATGTCATTGTTTGCATAGTCCAGAGAATTGCTTATGGCTGAGAACTTCAATTTTGGAGCTCCCAATCTTGAACGAACTTGTCTATATGTTGGTTAAAAAAGGTCTCACTGAAATAATTTGAAGTCTACAACTATTCTAATCTTATCCTGGAATAATATGTAACCTAATCGATGAACTGAGAACGATGGAAGTGGTCTTCTTAGAACAAGGAATCACTGCAAATCTGCATAATCAGCAAAAATATGTCATTCTTCTGAGGAATCACTGCAAATCTGCATAATCAGCAAAATAAAGTCATTGCTACATGTTCAATGTATTCGGCCATTTCTTCAGTAATGGGATGTTGGATCTCTCTCCATGGCCTACTGTCTCACAATATTTTTGGTCCTTCTTAGGTGTGTTAGTGATTATAGAAAAGACCGTCAACTGTCAGCAATTTTCATAGTGCAGGATATAAAGTCATCAACAATTACCTGTCATCAACTAGCAATATGGACTTCGTATCACTTCAAACTTCTTTATTTTACATTATTTCTGTTTAGCTATAATCTATAGCATCACTGGCTCAGAAAAAAGCAACTTCTGGAACTAGATCTGTCACAGCTTGCTGTAAATCTGACCTTTGGCATAATTCCTAATTGATTCTTCCTAGCAACGTAGTACTTCAGATTTATTGGCTAAGCTGCATTTAAATTCTGAGAGTTTCTAATTATTGCAGGCAGGCGGCCCAATAGGCCTCATTCAAAATGGAGATATAATCACAATCGATGTCGTGAAGAGACGAATGGATGTTCATCTGACTGAAGAGCAATTGGCCGAGAGGAGTAACAATTGGAGCCCACCACCTCTCAAAGCTACTCGAGGAGTGCTCCTCAAGGTACAAAGATAAGAGTTTGGTTGGATCTATGGTATCGGATTAATTGCATTTATCTTTTCTGCATTTGCTTTTACTGATAACCCCTGTCATTATTCTTGTAGTACATCAAAAATGTTCAACCTGCATCGAGTGGATGCGTGACAGATGAATAAGGATGTGCTTATCGGAATTCTGAGTGATCATAATCATCAGAGGATTTAGATGGCAATGCTGCAAGCTCCTGTTCAAGCGGCTCCCTTTTTTTTTTTCCCTGAGAAACATTTATCTAGGAACATTATTCTTATGAGGTTGTGTGCATGTTGGATTTGTCATTAATTTAAAATACTTAAAATGCTCTCCAAATTTTTGTTGTGAAATATTTTTTGCTCGGTTTTTTATCAGTTTTTAACTGTATAGTATTTTTATTTGGCTCATTGATATTGTTCTTTAATAGTATTTATAGTGTTATATTTATGGCATTAAAAATATTATTAAAAAATATCTAAGTGACATGTTTTTTTGTTATCATTGCTCATGGATTATTATAATATTATATTTTTAAAAATATAATTAATTTGATTGAGGTTAAAAGTTTATTTGGGTTTTTTTAAAGTAAAGTGTAAATTATTTTTGTTGGGGTAGTAAAAAAATACTATAACAGACCAAAATGTAGAAAAATTTTTGGATGATAGTTGGAGTATTTTTAAATTAGAGGTACTGTTTGAGTGTCAATTTAAAAATATCTAAAATATGAGTATTTTATAAGAAAATTAGCTAATATTATATTAGATGATAGCATGTGATATATTTTTTGTAATATTGTGGGAAAAGGATGATAGGGAGGGAGTTGAAAGGATGAGGTGAAATATATAATAGGATCCTAAAGATATAAATGTTCTTAAAATAAATTTCAATAACTATAATAAAAACATAAAAAATTGAGAATATTTTGATTTTTAAAGTTTCAAATGATAAAATTATTGAATAACAGTGCGACTGATTTGACCTTTTTTTCCTTATTATTTTTATTTTGTAGAGGGTTTGACTGTAATTATACTGCTCCCTGCCATGGCCACTCATGTGCATGCGTGCAGGAGAACGAGAACAGTCTCCTCCACCCAAACTCCGCTTCGCGAGGGCGATCCAACAGCTTCTCAGGTGAACGCCTCCCTTTATAGGTCTCCCTCATCGCTCTCCTCTTCATTCTCCTCTCTCTCTCTCTCTCTCTCTCTCTGTATCTGTTTCCCTTCAGCTCGAGCAACGCAGCGTATCGCAGATCGGAGATGGGCGAGGTGACGCCGGAGATGGAGCGTATCTTCAAGCGCTTCGACACCAACGGCGACGGCAAGATCTCGCTGGCGGAGCTCGGCGAGGTCCTCCGCACGCTGGGCTCCACCTCCGGCGACGACGTGAAGCGCACCATGGCGGAGATCGACACCGACGGCGACGGCAACATCGACTTCAAAGAGTTCGCCGCCTTCTGCCACGCCAACCCCGGTCTCATGAAGGACGTGGCCAAGGTCTTCCTTTGAGTTCTGGTCTCCTTTCTTCTTCTTCTTCTTCTTCTTCTTTTGGTCTCTTCTGACCAATCGCAGCTGTGTACGTAATGGGATCTTGTGGAGATTGTCAGCTTAATGATTTGTGTCGCCATATGAACTCTCACCAAATCAGTTTAATATTGCTATTCCAATATGAAAAGGTTTTGTGCTGCATCGCGCTGCCGCTTTGTTTCTTCATTGTGAGCTTGGAATGGTGAGTTAAGATTGTGTATCACATCATGCAATAGCAAGAACTCCACTGTATGATTAGTCCACTACTTCTGCCATTCAGTTCTGTAAAGGATAAGTATTCTACTTTGATGAGTTCAATCCCACTGGGATCACTGATCAAACCATAAGAAGATTTGGGTCGAGGTTAGCGTTGCAGAAGCATCATCATCTCTCTCTCTCTCTCTCTCTCTCTCTTACGCAAGAGGGCTGTTCTTGGGATTCACTCAAGGAGGTGCAGCAGAACGCCTTCAGGGTCTGGATTGCTTGCTCTGCATTTGAGAACAAATGAGACACGAAATAGAAAGAAGAAGAAGAAAGAACAGAGGCAGATTTCCCAAAGAGCGGAAAGAAGAAGAGTGCTGCTGCTGTGCACATATACCACGGGATAAATCAGCCGTTCATGCATCCTAGACCGAACCGCCCGGTTCGATTGGACAACCGGGAACTGAATCCTCGATTGATGCGGTTCATTGATTAGAGTGCTCTTAACTAATTGTTTTTGAGGTTTTTAACCTTACTTTTAAAAAATAATTACTATAAAAATAAAATTTTTTAGTCTTATGATAGATTTTGGTTCTCTTGGTGTTGGAGGAATTCAGAGTTAACCTAAGAAAAAGAAAATTTTATAGTGTTATGATAGGGTTTGAAGTGTATTATTAGTAAAAGAGAATTGACATATATAATGTCTTTTATAATAATGTATAGTAATAGCTAAAAGAAAGTGAGTATTTAATTTGTGTAATATTATAGAATCATTGAATATTACTTAAACGTAAAGAGTCATATAGACTAATACATATCATGATTAACGTAGTGTCACGAATGATTATCGCAGATAAGTAACTTCGTTAACGAATCATTTATCTTTTCTTATACATATGTTTTGATAATATGTTTTATCTTATTTTTATGTGTTTTGTTTGAAAATTATAAGTAGAAATAGTTTACAAGGTCATAGAGTGATTAGTGATCGCTCATCAGAATGAGTAAAATTATCCCAAAAATGATTTACTTTTCACATGTCATAGTCTATTTTTAATAGGTTTGGCGTGAAGAAAAACGATAGCCATCTCAGTATCCAAAAAATCCAAAGCATCAATTGGGAAAAGAATCCCTATTTACAGTTGTGAAAACCCATCTTGACATTTTGAAGTGAGTCTAGAGGAACTTTACGAAGGTCAACGAAGACTTCTTGGGGTAGAAAATTCATAAGAGGAGGCAAAATCTTGAATCGACAAAGTTAAGTCATGAGTAGATCGATTAATAGAAGACACCAAAGACTACGTGCAACACCTACATAAAGTCATGGCGGAACTCACGTCTAAGATTATATTGCTCACAAGGGCTCTTAATGTGGGAGGGAGTAATACTTATATTACTTTGTCAAAAAACTTGAGGGCACCTGAGCCACATTATTTCGGGGTTGCTAAGGATATGAAAGAGCTTGATGATTCTTTGTTTGATATAGAATAATACTTTCAAGCTACAAGACCCGATTATGAAGAAATCAAATTTTCAATAGCAACCATAGATATGAATGAAGATACAAAATATATGCTGGGAAGAGATCCGACAAGGTCGGTGTTGAGTGGACACATGGGAAGACTTGAAGCATGAGTTAAAAACTCAATTCTTATACGAGAACATAGAGTTCATTGCAAGTAGGAAGCAGAGATAACTCTGCCAAAGCACTTTCATTCAAGACTACATAAAGCAGTTTTTTGCACTAATGTTGGGCATACAAGATATGTTTGAAAAGGATAATCTGTTCAGCATCCTCAATGGCCTGAAGTCATGGGTACAATAAGAATTGCATCAAAGGAATGTTACTAATATGATCGGGGCAATCACAATGAGAAAAGACTCACCAACTTTGTTTCCTTGGATGACTTAGGAAAGAAGAAATAGCCTATAAGAAATTGACCATCTAAATACTCCCGAGGGAAGGAGTCTGGAAGTGAGTAAAAGAAAAAAAAGTTCCCACAAAGGGTTGAGCTTAAAAGGTAAGGTCCGAAAACCTGATGGATGCTTCTTATGCTAAGGACCGCACATTATGAGGGATTGTCGATAAAAACAAGTACTTAATACATTGACAACATCAGATGATCCCCCAGATCAGATGAGGGCAAGGTCATCATTATTAGTTTGAGTAATTTGAATTCTAACAACGATGATGGGTCACAAGGATCTTGGATGGGAGCAATTCATTTGTTGAATGTGTTTCGGGTCAAGTGGGGGAGAATATGAAGATAAAATAATAAAAAACAGAAAGCAATGAGCTAATATACATGAACATCAAGCTAAATAGCTGAATAATCTTTGCAATGGTGGACACGGGCACTATTCATAATTTCATTATCAACCGAGAAGCAAGGCACATTGGGCTAGAGAAGAACTCAAGTTAGATGAAGGTTATAAAATCAAAGGCCAAATAGATCTCTGGACTAGCAAATAAGATCCCCGTTAAGATCGAGACGTGGAGCAAAAGTATAAATATGATGGTGGCGTCATTGGACTTTCAAGTGATCCTCAAAATAAGTTTATACATATGATGAAATTAGTGTTAATGTTATTCCTAAACTCCCTATGCCTAATGGGAGGTAATGACACCTACATAGTTCCGGTTTCTTAAGGAAGAACTAAGGACCCATAACTAATATCTACTTTACAATTGAAGAAAGGGGTGCGCAGGCGAATTAACTTTTATGGCTATAATAAAACTAGAGCAACTTGATATGAAGACTACTCATTAACCTATTATGGTGGTGAACGTTTTAAAGGAGCTCACAAATGTTATGCTACTTGAGTTGTCAAAAACTTTATCGCCATGCAAAGACATGCATCATCACATCGAGGTAGAACTAGGATTGAAGCATCTAGTCAGACCACCATACCTCATGGCCCCTGTAGAGTTAGTATAACACAGGAAGCAATTAGATGAACTACTAAGTGGTGGTCGCATTTGTAGTTTTAAAGTATTATTCGGAGCTCCAATCCTCTTCTAAAAGAAACAAGATGAGAGACTCTGATTATGTATTGATTATTAGGCCCTAAATAAGATAATATTGAAGACAATTATCTCATTCCACTCATTACGGACTTATTCGACCAACTAGACAAGGCAATGTATTTCTCTAAACTTAACTTTCGATCAAGTTACTAGTAGGGGCGCATTACTGAAGGCCATAAAGAGAAGACTACTTGTGTGACTAGGTATATAGCGTTCAAGTTTTTTATAATGCCTTTCAGCTTAACCAACTCTTTAGGCACATTTTGTACTCTTATGAGCTAATATTCAAGAAGTATCTAAATAAGTTTGTGATTGTCTACTTAGATGATATCATTGTTTATAACCTAATGCTCGAGGAGTATGTCAAGCACATTCAAATAACTTTTAAAAGTTCTCAGGGAGATTACTTTATTTGTGAAAATGGAAAAGTGTTGCTTTATTCACATAGAGATTTTATTCTTAGCATCAAATTGTCAAAGATTCCAATCCGATAGACAAATTGAAGGTGCAAGCTATGACAGAGTAGTAAACACCAAAGAAGGTACTAGAGTTAGAGATCCTTACTTGATTTCATCAACTATAATCATTGCTTCATAGCTAGATACTCGAAGCATGCAACTCTATTAACAGAGTTATTGAAGGAGTAGCCTTGGTGATAGTTAGACAAATGTGAAGCGACATTCCAAAACCTAAAAACTATTGTGTTGGAAAAATCAGTACTCAAATTATTGGACTATGAGAAACTTTTCGAAGTCTATACAGATGCTTCAAATTTCGATATTGGGGGAGTACTTATGCAAGAGGATCACTTAGAGGCCTACGAGAGCCACAAGTTCAACGAGATTAAGTGATAGTATCTAGTGCATAAGAATGAGATAACAATGGTAGTCCACTATTTATAAGTTTGGAGTGCTACATTCTCATAATATGATTTATGCTAAGGATAAACAACATCATATCGAGTTACTTTTAAACTAAAAAAAAACTCTTCCCAAAATAAGTAGGGTAGTATGATTTGCTGGTTGAATTTGATATAGTAACATAGTACAAGCTTAAAAAAGCAAATATTATAGTCGATACATTATGCAATAAGGTGGAGGTAGCGAATGCTATTCAATTGGAATGCAGAGGCTAAGTTAGCTGTACTCTAACTTTCTTTCTAGGATTAGATATGGTTTGTATAGTGATCCACAAGTAATAATCATGATGCAACTAATCAAAGAGGGTAAGGCATGATGATTTTAGGTTCAAAGGGGACTCATCTACACTAAAAGAATAGAGTTTATGATTCTCGAGCGGACAATTTGAGACATAAACTCTTGAGAGAGTGTCATGATTTTCTTTGGGAAAGACATATAAGTATTCATCAAATGTTGATTCTCGTGAAGAGGCCCTTATATTAGTTGAAGATGGGGACTGATGTGAAGGAATATATTTGGATGTGCCTTACTTGCCAACAAGATAAGGCAGAGTAGCAAAGGCTTGTGGGACTTTTGGAGCTATTGTTTATACCAGAAAGATTGTGGAAGAGTATTTCCTTAGATTTCATATCAAGCTTACTAGTAGTATGAGGACTCAGATTGATACTCATGGTATTCAATCGATTTTTAAAGTATATAACATTCACTATTGCTCCCCTACATTGCTCAATGAAGGAGGTGACCAAGTTGATGATGAAGAATATGGTGAAGTATTGGGGTGTCCCACATAATATCATCAACGATCAAGACGTGTGGTTCTTGGGACGATTCTCCACGAGCCTCTATCCCTAGATGAATAGCTAAATTGAAAGAATAAATTCACTCCTTGAGTTGGATGATTCTCCACGAGCCTCTATCTTTGCACTACATGAATGCTAACTAACATAATTGGGTGAATTTGTTGGACATAGCTCAATTCTCCTATAATTTACAATATAGCTTTGCATCGAACAAGAGCTCCTTCAAGATCATTACGTGATAGCAACCATCGACTCATCACATCTTGGTGATCGGTTATATTGGGAAGAGTCCGTCAACATATTACTTTGTAATGAAATGTCATCGAAATGCATATATTGCCCAGGCTTACATGGAGAAGGCAACCAAAAGGATGAAGAAATGAGCATATTTGAGAAGGCGACCATAGGAATTTAAAGTCACTTGGTGTTGGTAAAGCTCCAAGTAGCATCACTCTAGTTCTTTAGGAATAAAAATACACAAGGGATTGATGTATAAGTATGAATGATCCTTTTTAATTATCAATAGGGTAGGTAATGTCTCCGAAAGTTGTAGCTCAAAATTCATAATGTCTTCCATACAAATAACTTAAAAGCCTACTACTCAGATTTGCAAGATACTTTTCGAAGTATTCAGTCTTAACTAGCCCCCATCAGAGACTCATACAAAAGATGAGTTGAAACCATTTTAGTTTATCATAAGATAAAACTACCCAACAGAGCATAGTGGATCGAGTAATAAGTGAAGTGGCAAAACGTCCACAAACAAAAGCTAGTTGGGAGCTTGAAGATGTTCTGTGACACAAAAAAGTAGTCATCAATGCCTACCAGTAAGTATCAATAAGAGCGTCGATAATTAAAGTAGGGGAGAATGTCATAGATGATCATCGTGCACTAGTAACACCTTCATCATTGTAATGTGTTTTGTCTCGTTTTTACTTGAAAATTATAATCATAAATATTTTATAAGGCTATAAAGTGATTGCTCACCGGAACAAAACTATTTTAAAATGGCCTAGTTGCTATGTTCCATAACCTGTTTTTTACAAGTAACAATATAGTGAAAAATATCAATCATCTCAACACCCAAGAATCCCCAAAGTGACATCTGGCTAGATGGGGTTAGGTAGTGTTAGGCATTAATAGGATTCACAAGTTTACACATAAGCCTACAGAAACTTGCCAACATGTCCGACACTCAGTGAGCAATTGTTTGTCTTCTAAATTCTTTGTTTTCTCCTTCCTCTCTTACACACCAAGTATTTGTTGAATTATTTAAAGTTGTCCTCTTCGCAAGACCTCTAGACTTATCCGTCACTCGCTCTCAAATTAATTAATTTATTCTTTTATAGGTTCTTCAAAACTTAAGTGAAGTTTTAACTAGGCCGATTTTTTTGTAGACGGATAAAATGGTAACTCATGACTTGACTCAAGTAAATTTAGCTAAGTCAATGACAATACTCATATGCTTATTATATTAATTTAGTAAGCCTAATAACAAAATATTTATCATCCAATAGCTAGAAAAAAAATATAAATATTTAATTTAATTCATATAATATTTATATGCAGAATCATCAGACTATCACATTAACATAGTAGGCCTAATAACCCAAGGTTTATTGGGCTTACGTTGATCAAGTGGATTCATCTACACGAGAAAAAAAAATATAAAAAAAGAAAAACAAGGGCTGTAAAATTCATACCAACAACCTAATTATTGGATCGAACAGCTTCGTGGCATCCAATCAACAAGGATTTAAGTCAAATAAAAGAAGAAACAAATATCACGAAGAAAAACTAAGTGAAACTTGTAATACAAATTGGACTGCAAAGGAGCTTAATTTCACATAAACACTTTCCCCTAATAAACTATTTTTTTTTTCTGAGGAAGATGAGATTTTGACGATTCATCAAAATTCATATTCGTGACTTACCCTTTAAAAATTAAGAATAAATATAAAATTATATATATATATATACACACACAACTAAATGTTCGATGAAAGATAAACCTAAGATGGTGCAAAATGATCCTCCTATATCATCTAATGGTAGATAACAATGTCAAATCATAACATTCCAAATCCAACGTAACAATGTCATATTTCTTTATCCGGAAGAAATTACAGGTAAGAAGAGTCCATTTCACCAAACAAGAGGGAGAAAAGCTGTCACATTTCCATATTACTCATACAAATTGCATGAATGGCTCTTTTTTAATTATTTTTCATTATATATAAAATAAAATAATAAAATAATAAAATACATATGCAAGACATCTCCTCAGAGACGCAGTCACTATTATTACATGTGATATTATGCTCAGATGTCACTGTGGAAATATTTTGAGGAGATTAGAATGGAAAAATATTTTTAAAATAAGGTTAATATTTAATTTTACAGGAAAATGAAATAAAAATTATTTGTTTTCGTGACCTGTTCTTACGCGTCTGAAAACCCCTATTTAAACCACCCCCGCTTCTTCCGGCCCAAATCAGCGGCGAAGCTTTCAAATAAAGGAGGGAGTTTTGTGCAAGCAATGTCTTCAACCTTTCGCCGGAAAGCCTACGCTTCCTCCAACTCCATCCCCATCTCCCTATAAATCCCCGCCCCGAACTACCCCCTCTCTCGCACCGCGTCCTCCCCCTCTCCCGGAAAAATGGCTGCTTTCTTCTTTGCCTTGTTGCTCTTCTTCGGCGTGTCCGGTGCGGCACTGATGGTGGAGGAAGAAGTCGGCCTCCCGGAGGGCGCCAACTTCCCCGCGCCGCAGGCGGAGAGGCTCATTCGCGGGCTTAATCTTGTCCCGAAGGAGATATGCGCCGATGCTGGCTCCGCCGCCGGCGCCGGCGCCGGTGCCGGGAGGCTCGTGGAGAAGCGGGTCCGGTTCCCTGGCCTTTCTGGTGGAGGTCCCAGCGTGGAGGAGCTCGGCCACCATGCCGGCTACTACCGTCTCCCTCACTCCCACGCCGCAAGGTGAGATTTTTTTCCACTGTTTTCCCGGGATTGTGAGCTGATCCGCGTGTCCAAAATTTTGCTTTTAGTGTGAGGATGGGATTGGCTTCTTAGCGTTGTATGCTCGACAATGTGTTTGTGTACTGCACTAAAGGTTTGGTTTTTATGAGGGTTATGTGTTTGAGTTTCTTACCCTTGGTTTTCATTGTTCTCCAGCTGTTATTAAGATCTAGACTTTGATCTATTTATGTAATCTGGGCATGTTTTATATGGTAAAATCGCATAACCTATTCATTTCTTGTTTCATTTAGGATGTTCTACTTATTCTTTGAATCAAGGCATAACAAGAAGGACCCGGTTGTCATCTGGTTGACCGGAGGGCCTGGTTGTAGCGGTGAATTGGCTCTTTTCTATGAGAATGGCCCATTTAGCGTGACGGAACACATGTCACTTACATGGAATGACTTTGGATGGGATAAGGTACTAATAATTTCCATTATATGAGTTCCAGTTAGCCGATTAATCAATTTGTTTACAGGTGCATTTTCTCTGGAGTAGAGTTTACCACCTTTTTCCTTCTGATTCTCAATTTAGAATCTCTAATAACCTCACTTCGTTTCTTCTAATTGATTTCATGATGATATTTGTGATGTATGTTTCAGACATCAAGGCAACCTGGCCCAAGAAAATCATAAATTAGTTTGCAAAGATCATCTGCTCTCATTGTTTCTCTTGTTTTGCTCAAGTAATTTTTCATTTGTTGGATTTCTTGTGTACAATTGCATTAAATTTTTTTATTCTCTTCTCTTAGCTGTCTACAAATTTGCTTTTTTCCTTTGAAGTGCTTGCAGAGAGCAATTTCCGTAAGACAAATGGTGACTAAATCACATGCTAAGAGATTAGGAAGAATATTCAATAAGCTTATTTGCATCTGATAACTCTATAGATTAATTTGAATCTGGTTAGTTAGGATCTGAATAATTCCGTGGCAATAAATGGAGGACCTTGTTTAATTCATTTAAGTACTTTTGTATGGAAATATCAACAAGAAATCAGTTTAACATCCTACAATCTGATTTTAAATTATTTCCCTGATGACAGTGTAAAAAATATATATCTTATGTTGTTGTCTGTTATTTTACATGGTTGCCCATCACTGATGATCGATGCTACTACAGGCTTCAAACCTTTTATATGTTGATCAACCAACTGGAACTGGTTTCAGCTATACCACAGATGATGGTGACATTCGGCATGATGAAAACGGAGTCAGCAATGACCTATATGATTTTCTTCAGGTTTTCAACTCTCTTTAAGTACTTGAAAACATTTACGAAATGTAAAATCCACCATTCATTTATTCTAGTCACAATCCTTAAGCTTACCATCTCTTCTCCCTCTTGTTGTTTAGTTTTGAGATGATAAATGTGATTGAACTCTGATAGCAAGCTAAAAACGATAAGCATGTGATTGTTAGCAATATTCTCCTTAAAGTACTGCTCAGAGTTCAAACATTATGATTAATTCAAATAACAATGTATTATCATGCTGAGAATTATCTGTCATGGTATTGAGAACAGATAATATGCCACCAGTATTTTCAGCAATTTTATCAGCACATTCTTACTATTATTATGTACATAAATTTTTTTGGTTTTTTCTTCTTTTTTTGTTCATGATTTAGTTATTTTGTGGCACCATTATAGAACTAGACAAACAACAAACAGAAACTTTTTACAACACATGAAGTAATTAATTTTTTACCACTGGTTACTTTGCATTTTCATGAAAATGTCTTGCTAAGGTTTTTAAGCTATAGTTTTCAAATAATTATATCTTTACATTTTCTAGAATAGCAACTAACATTATCCAATGTGACCTGATCTCAGGAGTTCTTCAAGGAACACCCTGAATATGCAACGAATGACTTCTATATAACTGGAGAGTCATATGCTGGCCACTATATCCCTGCTCTTGCAAGCAGAGTTCACCAAGGAAACAAAGCTGGTGAAGGAATTTATATTAATCTAAAGGTATAGTACATAGTTTCACTTCAAATCTTGTTTCCACAACATTTATCTGCTTTTGCTAACTTGTGCGGCTGATGAATGTTACGACAGGGCTGTGCTATCGGTAATGGACTTACTGACCCAGCAATACAATACAAAGCATACACAGATTATGCATTGGATACAGGACTAATTCAGAAACATGATTATGAAAGAATCAACAAGATTTACCCTGCATGTGAATTAGCTATTAAGCTTTGTGGTAATTCTTTCTCTTCTATGTCATTATAGCATGAATTAATTTATTTAGTTAATTATCTCTGCAGGAAAAATATTGTCTCATCATCATTATCTATGAAAAAAGAAAGAAATAAATGTGAAATTACTGATGATAACATTAACTTTTCAGGTACATCTGGAAATACTTCTTGCCTGGTCTCATATATGGTTTGCAATTCAATATTCAACTCAATCATGAAGATCATTGGGAAAACCAATGTAAGCCAACTGCAGTAACTAAAAATTAATGGTGAAAACACAATATTCTAACTTTGTATGCACAAATTTCTGCAGTATTATGACATTAGGAAGCAATGTGAAGGGAAGCTCTGCTATGATTTCTCCAACATGGAGAAGTTCCTTAATCAGCAGTCTGTTAGAGATGCTCTTGGGGTTGGAGATATAGATTTTGTCTCCTGTAGCCCTACAGTATCCGAAGCCATGATGAAAGACTGGATGAGAAACTTGGAAGTTGGTATACCTGCTCTTCTTGAGGATGGCATCAAACTGCTTGTATATGCTGGGGAATATGATTTGATATGCAATTGGCTTGGTAAGGCTCTGTTAATTTTTGTACATTCTAAGCATTTCCTATAATTCAAAATGGCAGCTTTCTTTCTGCAAGCACCACGAATAGCTATCTAAGAATCAATATATGAATATTCATATAAGTTATGGATAGACGAGTAAGAATGCCTAGAAACTGCATACTTTTGGTAAGAAACTTCCTGTAAACTAGATGCATTATTCTTAAATAAGGGAAGTCATTAATCTCTGCAACACTGATTGCAAGAGGTTTCTACAGCATATGTATATTATTCTCATGGTAAATGAGGAACCTCTTCCCTTGATCTGCCAATTTGTTTCATCTTTGTCATTGCACATTCACCCCATATAATCACCAGTTTCTTAATTTTTGTCATCTAAGGGTTCTTTCTATGCTGTGTACTTCGATCAGGGAATTCGAGATGGGTTCATTCCATGGAGTGGTCTGGTCAACAAGATTTTGTGTCATCACCTGAAGTACCATTTTTGGTGGATGGTGCAGAATCCGGGGTTTTGAAGAGCCATGGACCACTTAGTTTCCTGAAGGTACTTTGAAGATTGTGGTGATGTTTGCTTGAAATAACTAATTCTAGCTCTGCATGGTAAATTATATTGCATTTGTACTACTGGATTCCATGTATAACCTAGTTATAATTTCCTACTGGTATGGTTGGATATCATAACTGAAGCATAATGTTTCAACTGTTGTTTTGCATACAGGTTCATGATGCAGGTCACATGGTTCCAATGGATCAACCCAAGGCAGCACTGGAGATGTTGAGGAAGTGGACTCATGGGGAACTTGCTGCTTCTTCCAAACCGGTCCTGCATGGAGCATTGTGATCATTCATATCGGGAGAAGACGATCATGTCACTCGCGAGATGATTGAAAAAGCAAAAATAATAATTGGCAACTGTCAAGTTACGTCGTCAGGGTAAACAGACAGAACTTCACTAGGTTTGCGCATTGTCATGTAATACTGGACTTTTATAAACTAGAGTATGCAACAAGCTTTGTAATTATTGATCTTCAAAATGTAATGATCTGATAAGATTCTGATTGATCGCGTGATACGAATATAAAAAAAACTTCCTCTGGTTGTTCCATCTTTGAGCAAGTTTGGATGTTTGGAGGTGTATTTGAGATAGTGCTGGGAGTGAGTATAATGCCGGAGTTTGATCCTTGTTAGTCTTACATGTGTCCATGAAAGTAAATGTGGTACATAATTTTCATACATCCTATAATATATGTCTGCATATACCTTCCTAAGTGGGATTCTTACTATGCCTGCCAATTATTTACTCTTGTAATAGAAAACTTTTTTCTCTGGATCGAATGAGTTAATTCCTTTTAGATTTGCTTGTGCACCCTCATCAAAGCATACCGAAAACATATGCATATGTATGCAAATTTTGTTGCTTCTACTTCTTAATAGTAAATATTTGGATCTCAAGAGAATAAAAAATCTGATCAATTTTATTTCAAATTGATTTAGTTTCCATATCTTTTATCTGTCTCATTGTTATTATAGCCCTTCATGAAAAGGCATTGTTTTTTAAATCTATTTGTTGGATTTGATACATATTCTCAAAAGAAGGATATGTCATGGCAGATTGGAAACCATCAAAATTACTTCATATTTCTAACTCTTCTTGAAAGGTTAAAATTAGCCATATATTTATTTAAAGCACATAAAGCTATTAAAATTGAAAAGGATTTGGGAGTAAAGCTGTCTGTGAATATTACATAAATATTATTTTAAGTTTTATCATTTAAGAATATCAGATTGTTGATGTTAGTTGGTAAACAAAAATAAAACAATTTTCCAATTCTTAAATAGTCCTCAGTCCTTTTTTTTTTGTTCTTTCATGTGCTTTCCATCACTTCTATAAATCACATGAGTTATTGGCCATCAATTGCTATTAAATGAGGTTTTTATTGAAGATTGTTCATCTATCTTTTTCCTTTTTATCTTTGTGTATTATGATATAGTATTAAATATTCATTTTTTCCTATAAATATTTATGGCATATCATGCATTAGTTGCTATTATTTTTACACATTTACTTGGGAATGGTTTCTTAGTATTATGTTTTTGAGTAACTTTTTCCTCAATTTATGTGAAATCTTAGGTACAAACAAATGTGTTCCTTTCTAAAACAGGTTTCTTTAAACTTTTCACTTCAATATGATTTTTATTTGAGGTCAGTTGGTTTTGGATTGGATTGGGTTTTCTTCTTTATGATAAATCTTTTAGAGTAAATTCCTTTTTTATTTTTTTTCTATAATTCAAGTAGATAGAGAATATTTTAGTATTAGTAGATTATTTAGAATTCATAATATAATGGCTTCAACACATTAGTTAAAGATTGTTAAATTTTAAATCTATAATATAACTTATCTTGGATGTGTATTTTCATGTATCAAAAAATTAAAGTGTATGACTTTTTCTAATAAACTTCATAAAATTTCAAATCTTTCATTTTTATGATAATTAACCAAGTCATTCAAGTTTTGCTAAAATAATGATACTATCAAGACAACTAATAAGAAGCTCATTTGAATAAATCAAGATCAAGTTACATAAAACTTCATTTTTTTTTTCTCTCTCCTTCGATGCTGCTATTCATGATTTCTCATATATTTTTCCTTGTAAGAGATATTACTCCACAAGAAAATTATGAATATACATTTTTTTAATCAAATTTCATGTTTAATAAAATATAGATTAAAGGCCTAATTAAGTTTTTGGTACTTTACTACATTCTTAGATTAGCATACCATTCTTTATTGATTCAGCCATATCTTAATTCCAAATGAGTAATAAACATTTTTTTCGTCAATTAATATGAATGTTTATTTAAATTACCCTTATTGTACTAATCTTTTCATGTACAATTGCAATGTTACCATATAATATAATCTAATCTTGGTTGATTGCAAGCAAATGTGATTTAATGTTTAGCATTGAATTATCCATTATGCTCTTAAATCTATCATTTATAATTTCAAAATTGTGGATTCATTTATGCTTTTAATTCATATATATATATATGTATATTTATTATATATGTATATATATACATATACATATGTATATATTTATATGTGTATATTATATATATATATATATTATACGTATATATATATATACATATATAT